TCCCTGTGTTGCCTTGCTATTTGTGCTGACAATGAAGGTAAAACTAATTTAAAAATAAAGTTTTGAACTTAAGAAACTGATTACACACTGTATTTAAAAACTACAACTATATTTACATGCAGCCTAATTTTTGACTCTTATAATGTAGTATACAAGAGTAAACACTTTGACATATAATGGAATAGATACCAATTTCTTTATTGAGTATGACAAATCTGCAAGGTAGATTTACTGATTTTAAATCTTGGGTACTGAAGCTAATATCACCAGTCATACCAAAGCACAAATTCTGCCAAAATACATACAAAATGAATTATAAATCAGTGATTTCTTGACCTTTAAAGATAAATTTAGCTAAAGCAGTTGCCTAAACCTCAAACAGATGCTAAATACATCTTAAGGACATGCACCTGAACTGTTTGCAAAAGAAAATAATTGCACAGGACGAGTTTTGCACAGCTGTCAATCCTCTCATAGTTTCTCCAGGAACTATTCTAGTTTGTAAAACTGATCATCCTCTTCAGAACAACTGGACCATCACTCTGTGCAGCTGCTGATTCAGTGTGACTGTTGTTATAAATAAAAAAACAGGACAACACATTGAAACACTTGTTAAAACTGTTAGCGTTTCAAAATGTCTCATAGACAATGAATCTCTGACTTTAGACGTGGCTGCTAAAAACTTGTTTTTGGAGCTGAATGAAGAAGTTGGTGACAGCTGTAAATGTGACTGAGCAGTAGATGTAATGAGGTGCATCTTTGAGGCTTTGAAGCTTCAAATTTTTCTTTATAAAAAAGGCAGAGGCCTCAAAAACATCATAAGGCTTTATCTATAAAAAATAATCATCCTACCAGCTGCAGAGTAAAGAACTTGCTATTTATGTTCACAAAGCCTTTTATTAAAAGATGAAAGTTTCCATGTGAGGCTGAGCAGATATAACTAAGTGAATATAGAATCCTGTTTCATTTAACAAAAAGATTGCTGTTTGTGGACCTTGGTTTTGTGCATGATGTCAAAAACACTCAGAGTTCTGTCAGAAACCTTTTCCTCTGATTTCTCTGTCCTGCACAGTGAATAAAAATCGCAACTAAGACTTTTTATTTAAAAATAAAAGCTAAAAAAGATTTAAGTTCACGTATGTCAAATTAAAAGGTTATAAAAAAATGAAACTGACTGAACTTTTATTTAAAGARAATGTAATAAAACCTTGAGCCTAATGCATAGCTTTAAGTTCTAAACAGCATGTCAGGCAGGTCTTTCAGAAACAGCTTTACATGATGTTGTTTTTCAAACAGAACGCAGCCTGGCACATGGACTATATGCGTTTGGCTTCTTCTTGGACATACAGGAAGTATTTGACAATGTACCTGTAGAAGCTATAGAAAGAGCACTTTCCAGCAAAGGTGTGGATGAAACAACTACAAATTGGCTCATTTTCGTATTTCGGACAAGGAAAGCACCTTCAACTCTGAGGGACTGCTCGATAACCGTTAACCTCAGACGGGGCTGTCCACACGGAGGAGTAATCTCGCCCGTGTGTTGGCTCCTGGTTGTTGACAGTTTACTAAATGAGTTGAATAGATCTAGACTTCACACACAAGGGTATGCAGATGACTTGGTCATACTCATAGAAGGCTTCTGCCTGGGTACTGTCTGTAACCTAATGCAGAGGGGACTAAACATTGTATCCAGATGGTACTGGGAGCAGGAACTTTCTGTCAATCCAAACAAGACAGAATTGGTTTTTTTCACTCATAAGACATGGTTAGAAAGGCAAGAACTCTTCTTGTGAGGATCAGTTAAAATTTTGGGTGTCTATCTAGACAGGAAGCTTAACTGGAAAAGACATAAAAATGAAAAGTGTAATAAGGCAGCAATGTGCCTACACCTGTGCACACTAAACTGGGACTGGGCAGTTGCTGCTGTTCCAGTAACTGCAAGACCTGGAGACAGGATGGTCAAAAAATAAAAAACTGAGCCCAGTTATAAGACAAAGACTGAAGATATGTATGTCTGGACTAATTTCTCTACGATGGACATGTCTCCCAATCATCTCTACTGTTTTACAGATGTGTTCCTTCTGAAGGGCCCAGTAGGTGAAGGGGTGCTGAGAGAGAGAGAGAGAGAGAGAGAGAGAGATTACAGATGGGTGGTTTTACAACTGTACCTCAAGCCGAGCAATATGCAATCAACGATAATAATATAGTATTGTTCTACTAATAAATGATAAAATGGACTGTATTTATAAAGCACTTTTCTATCCATCCAGGACACTCAGATTGCTTCACACTACAATCTGTGTCCTCATTTACACATTCACACAGCACTCTATTAGGTCTCTACAAAGCTAACATGTACAATCATATATGGAGACTAATCAGTGCCAATCACATTCATACACTGATGGGACACACAACAGAGGCATTAGGGGTGAAGTGCCTTGCCCAAGGACACAACGACTGAGGCAACTGGGTGGGGGATCGAGCCGGCAACCTTCCGGTTCCAGGATGACTCCCCTAACCACTCTGCCACACCCAAATAATGATAATATTATTATTATTGTCATCATCATTGTCATCATTATTATTATTA